CTAAATTAAGAATAATTAAGATAATATTTTTATTGATTTCTCGATCAGTTTCCGAAATGTTTTTGTTATCTTAATCATAAACCATTTCCGATGTTAATGCCGCTTTCACGTTGCAACATTGCACAGAATAGAATCTTCGGCTGACTCTTAATCCCGAGACGAACATGAACTTGGCCTATGTGCCTTCGACATTGGGTCAACGAGATGGAGTGGCTGAGATATTACGCCGCAGAATTCTTATATCTACAGAGTCAATTAATGATAAAGTGCAATGAGCATATATTACTTGTAAACGTTATGCGCTAGAGGCGCATTTAGAAGTTATTTAAAGTCTTATTGGTGATTAAAGATAAGACTGTATTCTCAAGAATTACAGTTATTAATAATAAGCGTGGAGTTGCACGAAGGTGGCTTATTATCATGGTCAAATTTTCACGTTGGTTTAAGCAAACTTATAAGCAGATATTTTTATATACATATGTAACTCAATAAAATTGATATAAGTAAATATAATATTTTTGCCTTTAAACAAACTATGTGCATAATAAGATTATATATATTATTACATACTTAATTTTTTAATATGGTGTTTTATATTACAATACTGTAACACACATAATAAAATCTATGAATTTGTACATCATATAATTAAAAGTGATCGATGCCTTAAAGAATGCCATAAAGCGAAACCGGTCAAGTAGGAGTGCAACAGCGAGCGCTTTTTTACAATTTATTGTGAATAATAACTACCATACATTTAGTTAATTTACTTCTACCAAATTCAAATGATGGATACGTACGTAATAATATCTGTTTTTAGTTTTAAAGTATGTATTAATTATAAAAGTAATCATGTTTTTTAAATGTGTGATAAAATATATTAACAATGTAACAATATAAAAAAAGATCTAATAGCACTTGGAAACTTATAAAATGGACTAGTATAGACAAGCATAACTGTCAACATAACTCATTCTCATAAAGCCGGTATGAGTACCTCGGACCGGGTCCATGATTAACTTCTTCCGTGAGCAGGGTCAACTAGGGGGTCACGGTTTGACACCACGGCCCTTACCTCCAGGAATAACTTTCTAATAATAGATGCATGATATAATACAGGCAATGTCTGATAACAAAAACTGTTTATCTTTTTTGTTAGAGACATGAGAGACATTCCCATAGGTTTAATTTCATATTACAAGTAAAAACATGTCTATTTAAAAAATAAGGAAAGTCTTTTTCATATTTCGAATTGCTGTAAATATACTGTAAACTGATATAATTAGACTATAATTTAAAAAAGTCCAAATAATATATTAAACTTAACTACAATGAAAATATTGTAGTTTATATTTTGAAAATAATTCTAAAACTTGTGTAATATCAATAAATTATTGGAGTCAGTATAATACATTTTTATAGAAATCATTTACGTATATTAATCGTTTTGTCTGTATCATACATCACGAATTCACGATTGGCGAGACCAAAACTTGTTTGAGAATTTTCTATGACATGATGCATAACAAAGAGCTAGTTACATAGTGCTTCCCATTGTTATGGTTCGGATACAACGTTGACATTCTATTCTTATTATAGTTAAGCCAAAACCATCAGATTAAAAACATATTTGCATGAAATATTTATTATGTTTGTTTTTCTTTGAAATAAGATTTGGATGAGTTTAATAATATAACCGAAGATTTTGTTTAGCAAAAAATAAATTTTAATCTTAACAACACAAACTTGTAATGTAGAAATAATTATCAAAATCAGTTAATAATTGACGAAGATATCACATACTACACACACAAAAAAAAATGCTATCGAATTTTTAACCTTCTCTTTTCGAAGTGGTATTTTTTTATGATTTAAAATAAATTATATTTTAATAAAAAAAAAGAAGAACTTCTCAAAGAAACACCGAAATTAGTTCGAATTTAATTCTACAGAATTTCCACAGAAAATAAAACGCTTGCTTCAGTTATGACAAAATCTGTAATTTTGCTTCAAAAAGTAACCTACTGAACCGATTTTGATAAAGTTTCTATGGGATCAATCTGAAAGTATATAAAGGAAATAAAAGAATATTACTTTAAATCTATTTATAAATGACAGAGTTCTGAGGTAACAAACATAAAAAATTCCTTTCATATATTGCTTAAAAAGCTTGTTTTTAAAATAATAAAAACTAACTTAAATTAATTAGGTATATTTAGAAACAATTTTAGAAAAAAAGATTGCATGTAATCTTTTTTTCTAAAATTCTTCTTCGATCGATATTTATTATCTTGAGTAGGTATATATCTAACCAATCGATATTGCAATTAGCATAATGTCTTTTACTGTGACAAATGCTACATAAGCTAGTACCTACCGTTTAAATTATCTGTGGCCTAAGTATTTAAAATTTAAGGGCAATTGGGTGCCAAAAATTACCAAACAAGCAGCACTCAGATAAAACAATAACGTTGATTTTTTTAAATGTAATTTGATGTAAAAGCACAAAAGGAATTACTTACGACCGGTTTCTTTAATAGTTGTTTTTTTTATAATCTCATTTGATTTAAAGTCAAGTATATATTATGTATAATAGCAGAGCAGAAAATAATTTATATAAGCAAAATGTCACGAAATTTATCATATAAACGCGCTATACTGTAGTAGATATTTTTTATTTATATTTTAATTTAAACTTTTGAAAATTTTTTTACAAACATTACAACGAAGTATACTCGATAAATCGAACATATACGCAATTAAAACCAGCTAAAATAAAATGTAAATGGCCGACATTATTTGTATTGGTCAAAATCACAGTAGTAGCTAGAAGTACAAACTATTCTGTACTAAACCATTTTTTAACAAAATTATTTTAATTTTATTTGAAAGAAGAAAGAAATGGTAAAGAAACTAGGCGACGACTTTGGCCCACCCGTTGGAAAATGATTACCATTACCTATATAAACAGTACCACGAAACTTCACCGAATACGCTTTGACACTTTTTTGATACATCACAAAGTTGCCATTTCTTAAGATTACGATGTTTTCCCTCTGTTTCCTATAACTTCACTGCCATATACCTGTATTTAATATTTTATTGTTTAATTAAATATGAAAAGCTTTTTTTTTCTCAAAACCTATCAGGAATCTTTATCTTCTGCTTTATTTGTATTTGGTAGTAAGAAATACAAATGCACATGTAAAATCAGTTATAATAATAAAATGTAAGTACAAACTGTTACAACTATGATTCGCATCACAGCAAATAGTCTGAGCTGCTATTATGCAATAAACTCATTTGATTAATCAATAGAGTGGGTACGCAAGTAACGACGAACTTCCTCCAGGCTGCCACCAGCACATCCTTGGTTTCGCACCCAATCAATTTATTTCAATTGGAGTCGTATTTGTAATGAAATACTATATTTTCGTCTATCTAATATTATCAATAAGAAAGTCTGTGAAGTTGTTTGGTTATTTGTAACTCAGTCATACTTAATAGGCTAAACTAAGGCTAACTTAAGGCTACAGTGTCCGTTTACCATCAGACAGGTTGTGTATTTGTTTGCCACCTTTATGGTATAAAAAAAAGACTAATTTAATGAGATTTGGTACCAAGGTGGATCGTGTCCTAGATATAATATGAATATATACGAGGTTTTTACTAATTTATTCAGACAGTGGCGAGTTCAAATTCCTAGTTATTAACATAATAAAGATTTATTTTAAATTGTCTAAATGATTGGTCATGGAAATATGATTTGGCAATTGACTAAATGTTGGCTAAATTATTTGACTTCTAGGAGTGGTTGTTGCAGATGCTATATTCTATTAATGGTGGCATTTTTTAAATATAAAGAAATATATGGTATTATATTATATATTATATTATATATATATATATATCATCATAGTAAATATATATATATATATATATATATATATATTTACATGTAGTTTAAGAATGCAATTATTGAAGAAGTGATCATTTATTGTTACATTATTCTAGAAGGATTGATGAGCAGACTAGCTTATAAACTATGTACCTCCATATAGTTATAAATATTGTTTTTGTAGTTCAGCAATTTATCAGTAGCATAGCCATAACTATAACAGAACAGTATATATCGATCTTTAAGATCGATTATGCTTTTTTAAGGTGAAGCAAACTTTGTTTTTTTTTTATCGTATGATTATTGTAGATCAATATGATCTCAATCCATTATTTGTTATAAAATTATATAAGATCTAACCTGTTAATATAAGATCTAACGGTCCTGTCTATTCGGAAATACCCTCTGGTTGAGAATAATTGATTTTTCGATTGTATAATATGACATTATGATTGAACACTCTAAATCCCACACTCTGTCGTAATTCATTTAACCATCCGATATTTCTAACCAATACTGCCTATACTTGCACATAATATATATTGTAGCGTTTTATAATCTAATAAAATAATATACAAAAACAGATATGTATAAATAGTTTATGTTAGAAGTTAGAAAAATAATCCCATATCAAGACCATGCTAAATAAACGCTAATGATGTTTACAAAATGTGTCACGTTTGCTTCACTGGCTATACATACGTACAGTCAACAAATGAGCGAATAACTAAGTTTAACAATTCTGTAAAGGTTTTGCATAACTTGTCGTTTACAATACTACCAACACTATTTAATTACTAAAAACCAATTATGTGCACAATTATAAAAAGTAACAGTTAAATAAAATATTATTAAAATGTGTACTGTAAATATGGAGTGTTCATGAAAGATCTCATTGGTTCATACTATCGTACTGTTAAATTTTACATAAGCCATATATATGGTAATGTTATTTTGTTAAGATCAAAAAGATGCTCTAGTTAATAAAAAAACTAATTAAATTTACATTATGCATGAGGATTATTTAAAAGTAATATTGAAATAATAAGTGATCTTCAACATGCATAATGCAACTAAAATTACAACTATAAAATAAATGCACCTGCACTCGAAGATTTTTAGCTTTTCTTTCTATGCTTGCTTCTCAATATGGTAGCACTTACACTGCAACTAACACTAGTCCATACCTGATTTGGGTAACTAACTTTTTAAAATATCGATCGTATTTAAATTATCGTGTATGGTCACGCGCAATGTTCGAGTGTCGAGACGACACGCGTTCCCCGTTGCGGACAATCGCTCACTGAGTGTGTGGTTGCGTTCGGACCAGTTATTATGCGCCCACTGATGCCTTTTTCCACTACGTACCACACGTGGCTTCGGGTTTCTGTGATATGATGCTCACAGGAACCACGCTTATGGTGCATCGCCCGTAAATGTTCATGATTCATCACAATTAGAAATGGCATGTGATGTCACTGTGTAATGCAGCTAACTTAGGTACCTACATGTTTAAAGATGTGTCTATCAAGGCCGATGCATTTGTTAATAAATAACTGAAAAGTATATCTATGTATGTAATTTAAGTATAAGATTTAGGTATATATGAATTCAAATTAGTATTTATTCATATAATTCGTTTAGATACTAAGTTTAAAATTTATTGAAAAACTAAACAGGGGGTTTGTAATGGGGACTAGCAGCCCCATTGCTAGTAATATACTCTATTAGATTGACCTCCACGCGGTCTCCTCTGGAAAACATCGCAGTTTATTCTTGATGGATTTATTACGATGAGTCGACTGACCTGGGGGTCTACCATGAAATGAAATTCCGAATTTTCTGATTCAATTTTGTGTTTTTGTTCATACCGTAATCGGTCCAATAAATGGAACATACATTTTGTTCGTTATAAATTGTACCATAATAGAACCGATATTTTAACATTTATAATATCAAGTTTGTGTTTCATTCGGGCCCAAAATTTTGGAAAATATTTCATGGTAGAGTAATTGCTTTCGTCTTCTTCTATCATCTCTCACTTGTGTACTGTTTTGATATACCGATAGCCCATGCAAAATTACCGTTATGTCTCATAGAAAATTGTTTATCCTTGTCTACTATAATTTTTCGCTCACTGAAAGATTTTTAAACGTATATAATAGACATCTATTAAACGTCAACAAAATATTTCTGGAATTTTGCGACTTGGATGTTGTTTATCAAATGACAACAGCTGTCCTGTACCTGAAATTACATATATTATCAAAGTCTTAAAACAGATAATGCTGTAAATATGTTATTCACTTAAGTTAGCAGAGTGAATCATTCTGAAATGAAGTTTTGCATGAAATAACCTAAGGAAATAACAATGACGCGCATCAAGGTCGGAGCTCAACTTACATGCTGGGAACTAATTATAATAGTACTAGATACCAGATATTATCAGATACTCAGATACCAGAGGGAGACTTTGTACAAAAGTCGTTTGCTTGGGTACACCTGTCTCATTCGAGTTTCTACCGTGAAGCAATTGTTTTTGCATGACTGTGTTTCGGTTTGAAGGGTGGGATATGGCAGTGAATTCACAGGGTACGTATAGACGAATAACACCTAAGTCTTCAGGAATGGCAACGCATCAGGGGGTATCATGGGCGAAACAGTATACTGTTATGTCCATGATACTTCTCATGTCTATAGGTGACGGTTACCACTTTCCATTAAGTAAGCCGTCAGCTTGTTTGCCATTCTAAGTTGCAAAAGAAACTACCTTTTTTCTACAGTCCTATTACTACAAAAATGCTTAAGTACGTTGTATGAGGGCTCCTATCAAGATCGAAACTAGTCAGGCATCCACGAATTTTAAAATATGAGTAAAGTCGATATGCTGGTAAATGATAATTAAAGACTGTGTTTAAAAAAACCGACTTTAATTGTGAGAAAACCAGTTCCTTTGAGCTAAAAACTAAACTAGTGATCTGATTTTGTTAAAATTTCTATGGAACTAATCTTAATATTCCTTTCAAATTAAAAAAAAAAAACAAATCGGTTAGGAACTGACGGAGTTATGAGGTAAACATATAAAAAAAATATGATCGAATTGACAACCTCCTTTTTTTTAAGTAGATTGAAAATAGGGATATATTCTTTTAAGTTAAAAATATGTACATATTTTTCAACTTAAAAAAGGTGAATACCTCCTGTTTTCACGAATATATCAAAGTACGCAACTTTTTTTTATTCTACAAAGTACAAAAATAATTGATCTATAAATTTTGTAAAAGTTAAAATTAGAACTCTTTTTTGCGAAGGAAAATCTTACTTTATTTAATAATGTGACACATGACTGGGTAATATTACATCACTATATTTATTAGGCCAAGGACACATGTTCACATAATGACGTTGACCGCAAATTATGACTTGTCGATATAACATTATGACAATAGTTTAATAGAATTTATTGTGTTCGGGTTAATATTATAGTGTAATCTGCAAATTTATATTTTATTAAAATATTATTATGTAGGCAACCTGCCTGCCAAGTGTGGCAACTACTAGCAAAACCTAGGGGGTGTTGCCAGTAGTTGTATGAGGGAGGTCTATGTACAGCAGTGAACAGTTAACGGCTGATAAATAATAATAATAATGTAGGCAAATACTCATATTTCATTACTATTTAATCTTATAATTATATTATATAAAAGGAAAAAATAGTTTCAAGAAACACACTCCATCTTACAATATTCATAAATTTGAATTGGTATCACTAAAGTATGCGAAAAATTCAAAGTTTAATACGAACACGACGACAACAGATTAATTTATTTGCAATGTCTTAGATAGCAATAGATAATTACAGATATTATATAATGCTATGTACATACAGAATGCGAACTGACTACTGCAAATATGTATACTGAGAAATTTTTGTCCGCCAGGAATTCATTTTTTTTAGTAATTAAATTTTCCACGCGGGCGTCTTTCATAACTTCATATTAAATTTATTAATTCCATAATTTAGTCCATCTATACTGAATACATTCGGTAATATTCTATATAAATAATAATAATATATACATATGATGATGGTTATGACAAATTAATTTAAGGACATAGGGATGAAGCGGTTAAACATAACACCTCACCTTTCGATGGTTGCAGGTTCGATTCTTACACAATACAAACATTTGTTGTGTATGTCTGTTTCTATTGGTCTGGGTATTTTCTGTTAACTCTATCAGTTGCCTAGTGGTATTGATTTATTTATTAATAACAGTAAATTTTTTAATTCTCCAACTGTATTTGAATATATATAAACTTAAGTAGGTTAGATAGGTACTACATATAAACAAACATGCAGGAGAGTTTTCAATTAAATGTCTTGACGCAACCGTTTGTGCACACAGCTCAGCAACGCTTATCAATATAGGTCAAAACATGTTGTTGCGATATTTTCCTCTACGTGCATTTTTAAAGATTCTTTCATTTAGCTATGCACCTTTATGAGAAGGCGTTCGTATGCAGCACTTAAGAGTAGGCACGTATAAATAAACTAGATCTGTATTTTTTTAATCTTGATGCTACGTTTTGGCACAGGAAAAATAAATGTATATATATTTCACTCTATCATATAGGTATGACGCAATAAGTATTAATTTGGTTTTGGTATTATATCCACCGTAGTAAAAAGTACTATTGTGCCTACAGAAGGGACACCAACACCACTTCCAATTTCAACCATTATTATGTCTATTAGAATATAATAAAAAATATTTAGATAATAATAAAATGTTCACTTATTGTTTCCGTAAGTGTACAATATTATATCAAGTGAAATAAAACAATAATTATTTTATAAACCTTTGTATTAAATAAAGCTAAAATATTTTTTTAAGTGTAACATGCCCTAAATGGGCATTATTATTAATTTTTATTTCACCGTCAATATAATAAATAATGACAATTTGTTGTACAATTCAAACGAAATTATGACAAGAAGTGCTTGTTTTTTATTTAAGAAGGTTGTGGTTTTGGTATTTAACTTGTTATAATATGTGTATATAGTAAATATACACTTAGTTACACTTCAATCTGTCATATTATTCAAACATTTCAAACGGAAACGGAACGGCAACATCTTGCAATGATATATTAGTCTATATTATGAGTGTCATTATGAAAGAAAATTCTTAAAAGATTAATGTATGTTACTAGATATCTATAAACTCGTGTAAACTTTACTTTCTTCAAAACTAGCGTTTGTTTTATTAGATACCATTGCAAATCGTGAAGAACGTTTAGGTAAAAATCTAAGTATGCTAATTGGATAAACACGTACATATATGAAAAATACAACTTGAGATTTTGTTATAAATGTTCGTTATATAATGCAAAGAACTACGAAGGTATATTCTGATTTTTTGGGAAACAGATGAAAATGTAGTCCAGGCTAACTCTTCCGCAACATATACCTATCAGCTTGCAAGATTCTTTATTTAAGATTTTTCTAGGTGGTGACAGATCCATTAAATAATGACATACTTTCGAACATGTTAGTGTGTATAACTAAAAGTTTTTTTTGCATTCTAGGGTAGAAATTAATAAATTCTAAGATAGACAAGGCCAACACGAATCCCCCTTTTAATTATGCCTGCGAGGAAGAATAATATAATGAAATATTAATTAACTATAATCTAATAGTTAGTAAGTTGTCATGTCCATAAATACTGCTATCTAGAAATAGTTATCAAAGGATTCACTTCTTAAGTATCATGTGAGTGAATAATCTGTAACCTACGGATCGTATTGACTTCTGGCGCCAACTTAATTAGAATAGTTATTATCACTTGATAGATGGATACGCAATAATATGAGTGCATTCAAGTGCTAATATCCGTGATATTATCTCGTCGATGAACACATTTCTAACCTTGGACGACACCGGTAGATACATAAAAGTATGTTGAAAATTTTATTTATCAACAGAAATACAAATTAAATGTAGATATATAGGTTAACATTAATATTCAGTACAAAGAATGATAGGTGATATGATAGAAAATCGTCCGTATGGTCCCGGCATAGAACAGGCTACCCTTTCCTTTCCCGTGGGTGTCCTAAGAGGTGACTAAGGAAGGGCGAAGGATGGGCAGCAGCGTCTATCTTAAAACATCTCTAAAGCCTAACTGCGGTTGCCAATCCGCCTGCCAAGCATGACAAGTACTGGCAAAACCCCCCAAGCCTCCCCTTATCCTCAGTAGTGAACCATTAAGGACTGATATGATGATGGTAGAAGTTAAGGTAAACGTTATTGTATAGCGTGATGGTACCTTTTCAGCGACAGATATC